ATGGGCAGGCTGAAATGCTTGCTTGGTGACCACCTGGATCCACTTGTTGAGTGGAAGTGGGAGAAATGCAGCAATAAAGAGACAGGTTGAGTCTGGCCACTGACACCCATGGACCTTGTTCACAGGAACTTGAAGAGAAAACAAGAGTGGGTTGACTGGTCGGAAGTTCATGACCTTGCTCAAGGAAGCTAGGCTTGTTGAAAATTTGTGACCGTGCCCATGGTCTAGAGGCGAGGCGACCAATGGGTACCCTGTAGAGGCTGAGTGAGGCAGCCCACATTGAGTTGACCAGAACCCGACCAGATGAAGAGGTTTTTGAGCCTGTGAACTGGAGCATATTGCTGCTGACTTCATGGCTGGCCTGTCCTGATTTGACTTTGCTTATTATAGATGGGGAGTTCACAGGGTTCTAACTGGGATGAAGATTCCTCACATCAAAGGATATGATTGTCTCCTCAGAGCACTGGGTTGATGTAAGTGGGCAGTATAGAAATTTGTTACCCAAAATGGAGATGATAAAAGCGTGAAGTGGTTGGCTTACAAACTTTCCTAGGTGCTGGAATGAAATACTTAGGGTTAGAGGTTTAAGTGTGTGTTCCTTAACTGCAATGCTTAGGCATAGAATATTGTTGTTTTGTCACTTATAGAATATTATGTTTAAATGAGGATGGCACATATTGAATGGTAAGCATACCGCTTACTAGTTTTATCTTGTTAGGTACAGATATGATTTTTTTTGCTGTTGTTAAAAATTATGTATGGGTAAAGAGTTATGTAAAAGTGCCAAGTTGACAAGGGATGGTCTGTGGTAGTTACATAATCTGTTGTCAACTTGTTGAGGGGTGGAGTCTAGCATGTCAATCAGGTCACAGCTTGATGACCTCATTTGGGGATGCCACCGAGATAAATAGCTCACTGGAGACCAGATAGATAGACTCTCCGCTTCATCTTCCTCCGGACAAACCACATGAAGCTAGACTGATGGCAGCTGGAGCCTTGGAGCCACATGGAGACTCATGCCAGCGCTGAGATGTTTATACTGCCACTGGATCCACAAGACTTTCCATCCACTGGCCTGTGATCTTCCTGCACTTGGCATCATTGCACGTGTTTCTGAAGAGTCTGTTTCTGTGAGTCTGAAGAGGACTTTATAAATTGGGATTGGACATATGTGCTAATATCAGACTTATGGACTTGATCTGGACTTGGGGTGGAATGTTTTCTCAATATTCAATTGCTCTGAGTGTCTATGAATTTGTTTCTCTAATCTACCCAGACTAACACAGGTCCTTTCAGCACAGCAACTTGACCCATTATCCTGCTGTCATAGCCAGCTACTCTTCCTGTCACCTGCATTTCTGCAGACAGCACACACTTGTACACATATCCACACAGTTTGGACCTCATCCACTGTATACATGTACACCCACGATATACACATACCTGATACATGTAGTAATGCTACATGTACACACCCAGACTATAGACAAATCTGTCATACACACACACTTGTATACATTCCCCATCATGTATGTACATCCCCATTGCATACACACACACACTTAACTATACACATACACTATTATGCACATGATACAAGGTGGTACCCTCCAAAAACTGGAATTGTGTTGGGCAGAGCAGACCTTTCATAGTATGCATTTTTCTCCCTCTAGGAGAGCATCGAGCAACTCTCTCTGAGTTGCAGTGTCACCTGGGAAGGTTCTTTCTAGTCACAGTGAATTTTTCATAAAAGCGGTTTCACTGGAACCTTGTCTTTTGTGATGGTGAATTTAAGAAAACAGCATGTGGCTGTGAAATTTTGTTTCCACCTCGGGAAAAATGCCAAAGCAACTGTTGTGATGTTGAATACAGCTTACAAGACAGTGCTATGAGAAAAACTCTAAG